CGATGTGAGAAGGTGGGGGAGTTGTAATTCAATTCAATTCATATCGCATTACCATTATCGTTACAAGGAGGATAGATGCTCAAGACTAACCTGATGACATGTATGTCATTAACAAAATTAAAAACTCATTCTGATAACAGAGTGCGAGTGAGAAGTAAAAAGTGCACATCTCGACTTGTGCATTCAACACTCAAATAAAAAAAAATTTAAAAAAGAAAGATATTTATATCAGTCCTATAATGGAGATAACTATATATAGTATTTTTTTTCTCTATATTTAATTAGATACGAAACTACACTGTAAGAAATGGATACTCAAATATCACGAAACTTCCTTCATTTTTGACGAAACTGTTCCCTGGTCCTTCCGAGTTTTTCGTCAAAATGACGAAATAACTATTATTACTTATTCGAAGAAATAAACTGCGTCCAATTTTTAAAAAAATATTTCGTCATTCTATTTTTTACCAAAAAAACTAATATTGCCCTAACTTTTCTAATAACCACTTTATCGTGCACAAGACATAGGTAGATCAATGTCGCCCTAACAACACAAGAAAGGCAGATATAATACAGAGACAAATTACACCCATGCCCTAATCGGGATTCGATCCCGAGACTTTCCTCGTACGAGGCCAATTTCTTGACCATCAAATAAACCAGTTGGCTTGTTTCAAAAGTTTATTTTCTTCATTTTATTTAGTCTTCATTCTAGTTTCGTCATTCTAGTTATCAATTACCCACAATGCTCTACGATGAGGTTTCGAGTTAAGGAAACATTTTCGTCATATATTTCAGAGTTCACGTTTAGTCACAAATCTAGTGATTTCGTGCTGAAATTATTTTCAAAACTAACAAAATATAGCTCGAGGTTTGCTGAATCGTCAAAAGTGGTAGTTTTCTGAGAGAGTATAATGCAGTTATTAAAAATGAAAACAAACGTAATTTAAGAGTATGTTTCAAACATGAGCCTATTAGATACGATACCTAAAATGAAAATTAGTAGATAATTCACAATTGCAAAATGGAATGTTTTATTTTAAAATTAAATAGCAATCATACCTAATTATTTTTAAAAAGATATAAATAAAAATAAATAAAAGTCGCTACATAAATTTTGATCCAAATTTCCCTAAATCTCAAGTCCTAACAAAGTAACAAAGTTATTTTGTCTATAAAATTTATTACAAAAAACTAAATTCAAGTATTAGTAGAAAAATTCGTTTAGAGATTCCTAAAAGTGGCATGCGCTGCAATTTTTCAGTTATTTCACTTTTATTATCAGTTTTATCACTGATATTATCTTTCAAATTAACACTTTTATCACTCATGTAGTTTTCATAGCGAGTAGAATTTTTTATTCAAATTTTTAACAAAATAGCGGAATCTTTTTCAGTTATTTCACTTTTATTATCAGTTTTATCACTGATATTATCTTTCAATTAACACTTTCATCACTCATGTAGTTTTCACAGCGAGTAGAGTTTTTTATTCAAATTTTTAACAAAATGGTGGAAACAATTAATGGTGGCATCTTTAATTAATGAAAAACTAAAAATGCCATTACGAAAATGATATTTTAACAGAATTTACATTAGTTCTGAGAAAACTTTCAATTAGGTATGTGAATCAGATAAAATTTTCTGTACGTCTGGTACCTTGTTTTGAGAATGCACCCTTTGTAATTTTCGAATACGGTTATCATTTAAATGTGATATATACTACATTTTAATTTACACTTTTTGAAAAAACAAAGACCTAAAAAAGAGTACAAATTGATGAATTATATAAAATAAATATATAAAACTGATGCTTGAAAATTTTTTACAGTGGCACTTTTATGACAAAATTGAAGGGATATTACGTATGGATCTTTATTACAGTAGAAAATTCAATATTTAAGAAATAACAATGATTTCTCATAAAATAAATAAACTAGCAAAAGAAATGAGTAGTCCTGCATTAAATTTAAAAAATGATTACATATTAAGACTTAATTTTAAAAATATAAATAATAGAAAATTTTCTGTTTAAAAATCGAAATTCCATGTTTTTAATGAAATTTATTTAAGTAATTCACTTGAAAGTAGCAAAATTAATTTATTTCTGAAATTATATATTTGGAAGAAAATTCCTCCAAATTCTGGAAAATAATTTAACTTATTTAAAGAAAAAACTACAATGGCATTAATTTCTGTAAATATTTCTCAACTAGTTTTAATTTAGTATTTAATTATTAATTTAGTAATTTTAAAATAATTAGTGATCAAGAAAAATGAAAAAGTAACCCTATCAATGTAGTCTTAAATATAATTTCGAACTGAAAAGACCTTTGCCTAATTAAATTTCTAGCAATAGGAAAACTAATATTCAAGATTCTTTTTCAAGAAGAATAAGTTTTATTTTTAAACTTTTAACCTCGTAAAACCTATTACTTCGCACTCCGAGCAAAAGTACAGTGATTTTTTTTCAAATACAAATTCTTGTAAAAGCTTTCAATTTCCATTCCAAGTAAAAATACTCTTTCTTCTTAAATTTAAAATGTCTGAAATCTAATACTTCCAATTTCAACGAAAATACTTCAATTTTTCAAATTTAAAGTCTTATAAAATCTATTATTTCCATTCTGAGCAAAAAATGACTCTTATTAAATACAAATCTCAGTTAAATCCAACACTTTAATTCCAAGCCTCTTTAAATTTATTGATTCCAGTTCCAAACAAAAGGACTCCTACACATTAAATTTAAAACTTCTTGCAATCTAAATTTTCTCATTTTTCACAGAATTGCTCTTATTTTTTTTAATCTAAAAACTCGCGAATTCTAATGTTTTTAATTCTTAGAAACAAGACTCTTATTAATTAAATACAAAACCTATTGCAATCTAAATTTTCTCATTTGTAGCAAAAATTCTCTCATGTTATAAATCCAAAAACTCGTGAATTCTAATGTTTTTCACCCCAAGCAAAAAGACTCTCATTAATTAAATTCAAAGGTTCGTAAAATACATGAAATTTTGTTCCATATGAAGAGAATTTTCATGACATATATAATGGAAATAATTATTTGAGAGCTTAAAATATTTAACAAGCTCTATTTTTCTAGAAACCAAATTTTTTTCACAAATAATTATAAAAATTTAATTATTTCATAGATCAAAAAGACATGATTAAATTTTTCATTTCAAAATAAATCAAATAAATAAAATAAAATAAAAATCGCTAAATTTGCTTTAAAATTTTAAATAATCAGTAGTAAATGTTATTTAAATGATTATACGGCAAAAAATTAATTTTTTTACTTAAAAAAGAGAAGAAAAATGCTTCATGAATCGAAGAGAAGCAGTAAAATTTCTTTAATATTTACAAAATACATTTTTTTTCACTTAACAGACACTTAAGACGATTTTTCAAAGCTGAAAATGTACACAAAGGCTTTCAAACAAAGGAAGGTAAACCAAAGTGAGTTACGATTATGCTTAAAAGTGGTGCATATCTTATTAATTGTAAAAGTATAATTTAATAATGTAGCTGCAAAGCTTAGTACTGAAATTAGATTAGAGAAAATTTCTATTTTCTTAGAGTATAACAACTATTTTTTGGTAAAGAAATTGTGAAAATTAACTAACCTCAGCTTTGAACAATTTATTAAAAAAATTAAATAAATACAAAAAAAAGTCTTACAGTATGGTAACGAAATAACGCTATTGCTGTTAACAAATGTTGTTAAACTTTTCGGGAAAAATATGTTTAAGAAAAAGCGACGACGACATATTTTTCGAAATATTGGAAACATTCGAAAATAAAATATTAATAAAGATTTTCAAATGTAACGTTACACTCAAAAAGTTTATTATGAAAGCTTAACGAGAACAAAAAATGATGCAACAAAAAACTTTGTATGAGAAATTAAAGAATATATAATTTAAAAAACTACCTTACTGATAAACTAGTTTATCAATGATAATTAACATTAGCTAAAAATTCTTATTTATATTCTAAATTTATTTTGATAACTTCCTAATTAATAAAAGGTAAACAAATAATAAACGAATATTATCAAAAGTACAATAACAGATGTAAGAGCTATTTATATTATAAATTTATGTTGATAATAACTTCATCATTAATAAATTGTAAGTTAATGACCATCGTATACTGTTTTCCGAACAATAACAGAAATAATTAGCAATTAAATAAAAGTTATTTATCATTAAATAAAATGCCATTACAATAGATTTCAAAACTAAAAAAGTAAGTGTAGTTAAGAATTTTCATTTCAACCTAATTAATTGGCTTATTAATGCAAAAAATGCGTTATTATAAATAAATTAGAAAGTGCATAGTTTTTTTTGATTGAAATATACTCTATATCTATTGAAAAACAAATAAAGTTAACAAACAATATATTGACAAATTTTAAGAACAAAAATGCGCTTCATTTCAAGATAATTAAAAGTTTCTATGAAATATTATTGTGGAGCAAAATTAACATTCTAATGGATGAATGTTATTTCGTAATCAGTAATTGATATTTTGTGTTTAGTGAAATGTGACTTGGAGGCTTAATGACTAGTAAAATGTATGAAACAATTGTTTTAAAAAAACGGGTTTATTTTTTTTCTTCTATACAACACATTATTTTTTACATTTTTTACAATTCAACGTTGAATTCTGTGATTAATTACATGTTTAAAACTTCTAACGTCGAAAGAAGACAAAAGTCTCAAACTCAATATTATACATTTAATAATCATAACAAACTCAAAATAATTAGTCATTTGGAATATCACAAAAAAATTATTCATAATTTAATAACTATCAATTTTAAGAATAAATAATAATGATTTATTATTTAAAATTGTTTTTGTTTTGTTATGCTTAAAAATATAATTATAGTAGTAATACAAAGTCTCTTTAATTTAAGCACATTTATACTGATATGAATTATTGCACTTCAAAAGTTCAAACATTTAAAGTTTTGTTTGGAAATGAAAAGTCTTTTCTTACCGGAGAAAGAAGCATCTTCAACTTCTCAATTCCTGTGAATTGATTTGAAGTTCAATTCAAAATCGAGAATAGTCATAACCATATACAGTTGAAGCTGTCCGATGGTTATAACCAGATGAAGTTCCGACGCCAAAGTTCATTTGGCAGCTGGGATTTGTCACAGTAGAAGAAGATGATGGCACAAGACGTTGCCCATCAAAGATATCTCTCACAACAAAGTTTCCATTTGAATCTGTGTATAACGAGCAATCTGATGAATTATTTTGAATTGGATAATTCCAACCTGATGCAGTTGTACTGGACGAAGAAGCAACATTTCTGTTCATGTATGGTAAATGCTGAGGAGAGCCAGGCATGCTCAAACCACCATGGCCGCTAGGTATATTATATGGTGCTGTATCTTCCATAGAAGAAGTCATGCCTACATTTAGTCCACTACTGCTGCTATTACTAGATCCAGCACGAGTTCCTGGCCTTGATACTACACTACTTCTACCATTGTCCCTTTCATAACCACAAGTGGGAGATACAGAGCAATTGTAACCAACATTTGGTGCTGTTGGAGATGCAGAACAGGGGGGTAAGGTAAGAGCTGAACAAGGAAAATTAGTGCGTGAGCCATATGATAAAGTGTTAAGTCCATTAGTGCTAGAGCAGGATCGATGAGTTGAGTTAATGCCAGATCGTGATGATAAACTATTTATAATTGAATCTGACATATGAGAAACTGGAGATTGAGCTCTTGGATCTCTAACTAACAAATCCACGGAAAAGCTCGATATGGATGCACCATCGACTACAGAAGAGTCAACATACGACGATGAAGTAGCTGGACTCATGTTATTTTGCATGGATGGACTTGCTTTCAATCTATCGTATTTACAATCACCTGATAAAACCAATCTTTGCATACAGGAAGGATTGAAAAGTGGATTGTTGTGTCTATGGTCCATCAATTCATCGTCCATAGGCTCCACCTTAGGAGTCAAGGTGCAAGGTAAATGATGGCTGCCTGTGCGTGGTGGAGAGGTGGAATGGCGGTCGTTGCGAGTCGAAGCAGTGGATATTCCATCCACAATGTTGTTATTAGAGGCGTTGGAGTTTGTTTTCATTGCAAGATTACCAGCGGTGGGTTCCGCTAGAGCACCTTCTTTACTCAGCTCATCCCGCTTCGACGTGCTCTGTTGTTTTTTCAAGGGATTCTCATCTTTATCTCTTATAGAATCTTTCTTTTTGAATCGCCTCCGCCTACGCAAATAACTACCATTGTCAAACATATTCACACTATCCGGATCCAGAGTCCAGTAGCTGCCTTTTCCTGGTTTTTTATCATCACGTGGCACTTTCACAAAGCAGTCATTGAGGCTAAGATTGTGACGGATGGAGTTTTGCCATCCTTGCTTGTTTTCCCGATAAAACGGGAAACGATCGATAATGAATTGATATATGCCATTTAGAGTTATTTTCTTTTCGGGTGAATTTTGTATAGCCATGGTGATTAAAGCTATATAAGAATAAGGTGGCTTCACCATATCCTTGGAGGGTTGTGTAGTAGTCTGGTGGACGGCCGGGGCGTAAGGGGCGGCGGCGTATGGGGAAGGTCTGACTACGGCGGTGGCTCCGTACCTCTCCACTGCTTGCTGCTGCCCTGCCGCGTAGGGCGCCATCACTCCGTTACCTGCGGCGGGGCTCATCCCCATGCCTGGGTAGCCGTCGTAACGATAGTAGCCATGATGTTCACCGTAAAGGGGGTGCATTGCGTATGGCTACACAATCCTGATGGTGGGAGGATAAACAAATTCACTTTTTTCCACAGTCTGATTAGAGACGAGCGGCTAGAGTTTAAATCCAGAACAAAATCTCCTTCCGCAGCGGAAAACCCAACTCTCTGGCAGGCAACCAAAATCGAAGTTGTGCCGCTCCACGCCGCATGTGCGTACCCGTTCAAGCGTTGCTCTCCTATACTTCGTCTTCAGAAGGAAGTTGGAAAACTGGATGGAGAAGAGGGTGGTGGAGAAACGAGGGAGAAAGCAAGATGAAGCGAAACCGAGAAGATCATAAAGCCAAAGGGGAAGTGAAGAGAATGTGTGGGTGGGGTCGCGAGAACTGCTTTCCCCCCCTTACCAGTCAAAATTGAAAAATCCCGAACCGGCTTTTTAAGTTAGCCAGGGAATAAAGCCCTCTACTCGTCGATGCTTCGAAAATTTGCCACCGCACCGTGTTCATTCCTCTTGTTGTTCGAACGACCCCTCCCCCTTCGTTCTCTATCAACCAATGAACAGCCAGCCGGGCGGAGAAGTCGAATACACTCAAAGATGCTCTTGCCTCTGGCTTTTCGCGATGCGGTATTTAATTGACGGTAGTAGATAGAAAGGAAAGGGGGGTGTCGAGCACCTTACACATTCTCTCTTCCCCCCCTTAAACCATGAGTTCTCCTCCCCTGGTTGAAGTAGATAAGGAGGTATATCGGAAGGACGACGTGTGAGCCAGTAATTCAATCTGGTAGATTAAAGGGGGGGAGGAAGAGGACTGCTGGAGCACCCTGTTTTCCGAATTCTGTTTTTCCTTGGAAGATGAGAACTGTTTTATGTTGTTTGTTCCGATTCTTTTTCCACACTTTTTGTTTGCTTACTTACAGGTGTGTTGAAGAGAAAGAGAAGAGTAACGGATTTTTTCAGTAATCGCCGAGACTCGGTTTCTTTTATTCCATTTTCTGGCATCTTTCATTATTTCTTTCCTTACTACTACTAGTAAATTCAGATAAGAACAAAACAGAAATTTCGATGGAATTTCTTCAAGGCAAAAAAGTTATCTCAATTAAATTTCCAACATAGTTCCAATAACTAAAATGAATGTTTTGCTTATTAACCCTTTATATTCCCTACCTAATAATTTCAGATAAGAACAAAACAGAAATTTCGACAGCATTTGTTCAAAAATATATTGTAGTCTCAATTAAATTTTCAATATAAAAGTAGCTCCCCTGAAATGAATATTTTCTTTATTAACCCTTTATATTCTCTACCTAGTAATTTCTGACAAGAACGAAACAGAAATTACGACAACATTTGTTCATAGATATATTGTGTCAAAAAAAATCTCAATTGACTTTCCAATATAAGAGTAGTTCTATTAAAATGAATATTTTTCTTTGGCCAACTTATTGATGCGGAATTTGTATTAAATCAATTTTTCATAGTTTCTCATTATTCTGTATTAATTATATGGCCAAAATAAGTGAAAACTATTATATTTAGCATTTTGATAATAGATAGTTATGAAATACATCATGAAACACCGGTGTCTTTGTCTGCGTTAAAGGTGAAATTTTCCTAACACGGCTCACTTCCAAACAATAAATTTTCAAACTTGCAGTTATTTGCAGTTGTTTTGATTAGTGTTTTGAAACAGTTAATCATCACTGAAATTTTGATTTACAAAATCAACTGTTGATAAATTTTTTAATATGACTGAAAAAATTATCAAACTAAGTTTTCTTGGATTTTATATTTTCGTACAAATATAATTTCGATAATCTAACAGATTGGGTTGTTTTTATTGCAATTGAAAAATACCAAAATATTTTTTTGCTTATAATTAGAGCGACAGAAAATACATATATAAAAAGGGGAAATCAGTGTCTCCTCTGCGTCAAAAGGTTAAACATGTTCATTTTTTTATGCAATGAAGGTCTAACATATCATACGTTAATCTAAATTTTTTGAAATTTTATCAGATCAAGTTTTTGTTTGCATCATAGCATAGTTTAATAGGCTCATGAAGGAAAAAAAATATACTGTTCTTAAACACAGTAATTTCGTATTAATTGCGTCAATTCCGTTACGAAATTAAATTTAATTTAATTATTTTTCTTCATTAGATCATATGTTTTATGGTCTTATAAAGGAAATTAAAAAAACTGTTCGTAACAAGCGCTAAAAACACAGACATAAACTTCCTATTTCTCCTCTCAGTGTAAAAATGTTATTCAAATAAGAAAAATAAAATTTTTCTTATTATGGTTATGCAATCTTTTTATTAATTGATTGTAATAATATTTCATTTCTTTACTGTCAATTTGTCATTCCTTTTTAACTTGTGTCACATGGCTGAACGGTCTTTACTGTAATTACGATATGTAAAGCACTTATAAAAGAAGTTAAAAACACTAACATCAGCTTTTTCTTACAAATTTAACTTTTTCCTCTCAGATGTAAAAGTGTTATGTAAATAGGACGCAAGAATTTTTTTACTTATTTTGGTTATACATTCTATTTTCAATTGATTAACATTGCCTTTCTGCACTCCAGTGTGTTTCAGTCATTTTTAACTTGCACTGTAAGTCTGAACTACATTTTTTATCTCGTTCGATGAATACTAGACGATAATATTAATGCAAAGTTGAAAACAGTGTGGTAAAACACAAATAAAATAGTTAATAACACAGACATCAACTTTTTATTTATCTAATTCGAACCTCATCCTCTCGTACGTAAAAATGTTACTTAAATATGAAACATAATATTTTTCTTATTTTGGTTACACATTCTGTGTAACATTCTGTATATTTTTGATAAGCATTTCCTTTGTATTCTCTAGAGTGCTTCAGACATTTTTTTCCAGCGACATAAGAGTCTTAAATACATTTTTTTTTCTCTTTTGACGAATATTCGACAAATTAATATCAATATAAGGTAGAAAACAGACTTAAGTTAAATATTAGTTTAAAAATATTAGAAATAAAGTAGAAAGTATCTTTTCTTTACCGAGTTTGCCGAGTTTTTCATCCTCTTGAATAGCAACAATTTTCTTCATGTTGCTATATTTTCCTTATTTAAGTTACAGAGTTTCTTGATAATTGATTGTGATTTCCTTCTTTTAATCTGATTTTTACTTTTTCAAACGACCCTCCTTTTAACTATATTTTATTATCATTATTACAAGTATCATTACAACGAGTAATGCATATATAGTATTACAATATTAAAAAAAATTAGGGGAAAAAATCATATATAAAACACAAATCAAAAGGGAAGAAAAAAAAAAGCTTCAAAATGAAACATTAACTTTTTCCTTACTGGTGCTTTACTGGTTTATGTCTATATTTTTGACTTTTATTTTAACTACTAAGTTAATCTCGCTTTTCTCAAATTGAACGAAGTTTAATAATACTTAAAAAAGAAAGAGGAAAAATATTTTGGAGCATTTAATTTTCCGAATTTTATTTTTCTATGATTTAATTAAAAAAGTAATAGGGTATTTAAAACTGATTTTTGAAGCACTATATTTTCTGTTTTAGAGTATATGTATTACAAAAGTATGAATTGCAGACGTATTTAATTTTCTATACTGAATGTAAAATTTTATTTCGTTCAAAATTTTTTATTATTATTTTAATTCAAACTAGTTAATCTATGTAAGATAATAAAACTGGTTAGATAATAATAAATAAATAAATAAATAAAAACATTTTAATAAGCATGGATAGCAAACCAGTGAATGCCCTCATCAGGAATTGTATAATCATTTGGAGCGACATTTTCATTAGTTTCAGAGCAATTAGTAGAAAAACCTTTTTAACTTGAACTTTAACTTCTAGCTTTGGGAGTAGTTTGGAACGATAATGCTGTGGACGTTCTTCTTGGATTTCAAAATAAAGTTCGTTGCTCACAATCTAGCACAATTATTTGCTGCTTAAATTCTTCTTCAATTAAAGTGATAAGCATAACAAAACATGCTTTTTCATATTGTTCAGATCTAAGACGAGCTGTAATCGAATGTTAAACGTTTGGAGTTTATTTTTTTTCCATACAATTCAGATCTGAGTTACTATGATAGACTGCTAATTTTGAGTAATTTTACGAGCATTTCGAAGGAACAATTTCATTACTTTCAGAGTAATTTGAAGTAGAAACTTATAAGATTGGAAGCAGTTTATGAAGTGGCTATATCATGATACAGAGTTATATGCAACAATTACTATAACTCTACCTTAACAATCATCATATTTTGATGCAGCCTGAATAAATTATTAGCATATTTCAGTCTTAATTGATACTAAAAATTAATGCGTTTTCCTAATAACAAAATTGGAGTACTTTTGTCACAATTTCGTAAAAAAAGTGCAATTTTTAAGGCAGGTTACAGCAAATTTAGCAAGATTTTGCTAAAAAAAATTTTTGGGATAATTTTACTCACAGCAGGTTAAGAGTTAAAATGTAGCAAAAAAAAATTTATAAATTAAAAATAAAAAATAAAATGTAGCAAATTGAAAGGTTTTTCTGCAAACAGAGTATACATTCTGCAACGATGCAAATTTTAAGTTTAAAAAAGATCCTCTACGTCCATCTTTACTTCTTTACTCTTAAAAAATACAATATATACGTTATTTTATATCAATATGATTCGTTATATTTTATTATATTTTGGAGAAAAAGAAAGCAGTTTTTTTTTTCAAGAAAATAAATTTCAAAAAAACCAAAATTAATATTTTTAAAAACCACGTTTTTGTACTGGAGAATAATAATTAAAAAACAGAAATTTGAAAAACGAAAAATGTGGGGCGCATGAAGTACATAACAGTAATGTTATATTAGTGTGTGTAAGTGTGTTCATGAGAATATGAGTACGTATATCTGTAATTGTAATTGTATCTGAATGTGGATGCGTATGTGGAATATGTTTGTGTATATGCATGTGTATGAGGATGTATATGTGTATGTGCATGCGACTGTGCATGTGTATGAGTTAAAAAATGTTTATATGTATGTGTATATGTACTGTTATGTATTCCATGAGCACCACGTTTTTCGTTTTTCAAATTTTTGTTTTTTAATTATTATTCTCCACTACAAAAACGCTGTTTTTAAAAATAATACTTTTTATTTTGATTTTTTTTGTACTTACTTCCAAAGTCCCAATTTTCTTCCCTCACTGTACACAAAACTTTTCAGCTGACATGTGACACTAATTTGAAATAATCGAATCGACAACAAAGGACAATCGCGAAAATAATCCTAGAATTTAATTGTTTTAGTNGTATACCTTCTTTCTCTTCATTTTCATGCATTGTCATCCAATTCTGAACTATGTGCCAAATTTGAAGTCTGTAGCTAGTTGGGAAGTTTTAAAATCGATTACAAAATTCCACCCGAGCAGACATACACGAAGACAAGTTGATATTAACGTGGTAAAAAAGAAATATTGGATTTACCAGTTTCATTTTTT